AACTCTTCTTGAGTGGACTAGTGCATTGGAGGAACTCAAAAGCATCCCCTATGGGGAGATTTTTGAAAGACTTAAAATATGTTTTGATTCATTGGATGACCATCAGAAGGCCATTTTTCTCGACATTGCATTCTTCTTTATAGGGATGGATGAAGACAATGCAATTCAAATACTAGACAGTTGTGGCTTCCATACGAAAATCCATCTACATAGTCTTATCCAAAAGTGCCTCTTAACAATAAGGGAAAAGAAGCTGAGAATGCATGATCTGCTTCAAGAGATGGCAAGAGAAATTGTTCGTAGAGAAAATCCTGGTGAACCTGGTGAGCGCAGTAGACTGTCCTTTTATAAAGATGTTCGTAAGGTTCTGAAATACCATGAGGTAAGCATCAATTGCCTTTGCTTAGTGTCCAGCCTCCAATAAATTGTTTAAGGAGTACATTGGTTGTTATGTAACATTGTTATTGCTTGTTATGTAATATTGTTAATGCTCGTTGTTATCAGGGTACAGACAAAGTCATAGGCCTTAAGGGGTTCTTCCCGCCATTAAGGGAGAAGTCATTTAGTACTGGAGCACTTGCAGGTATGAAGAAAGTAAGAATACTCCAACTTAGAAATGCTGACATTGTTGGCCGCTGGGAACAATTTTCTAAAGAATTAAGATGGTTGTGTTGGGAAAGATGTCCTTGGTTATCTATACCACCTAGTTTAAATCTCAAAAAATTGGTTGTACTGAGGTTGTGCCACAGCAAACTCCAATATATTTGGGAGCAATCAAAGGTATGGCTGTATATATATGTTTCTTGTTTCAATTAGGATTATTCTTAACTAGAGTTACAATTTTTTTATAGACATTAGATGACTCTCATCCTTCTTGCAGGTTCTTAAAAATCTAAAAGTCCTTGATCTTAGTCATTCACATGACTTAGTCAGAACCTCTGACATCTCAGGTCTTTTAAACATTGAGAAATTAATCTTCAGAGGCTGCATTAATCTGATCGAGGTGCATCAGTCCATTGGCAATCTTAGCAAACT